TATATTAGGTGTCGCCATGGAAACTCAATAAGGTTTTAAATGAATTTTTAATAATGTACCTTGATTAACATCTCCACCCTCCCCGTGTAACAGACGTCGAGTTTCAATGAATGCTTGGTATTTTCACAATATCTTGATTATCCTGTCTAATAATATCTGTTATATTAACTGATTTGAGATAATGATATTCCTATGCTTAATTGGCCAGCCAATTTGTCTGACACGAACCTCATAGACAATCTATAGGGTATTGTCAAAAAGAATATCAAAGTCGGTATCAGGAGCTATCCAGTATAGACATATCCAGGAAATGGACTACTTCGCATTGCTAGTATCAAGCCTCCTTTGAAGCAGCATCTTATTTGGACTTATGAGAAAAAGAGCTGAACTGTTATTCACTTGTCTTGTCCTCTTTTCAGATGAAAATAAATTTTGCATGTCATTTGAAAATTGAGGTTCTTGAGTCTAGAGGAACAATGGAGATGCACAGGATCTGGTTTGAACTTCAATCTGATATTTTCACTGTGATTATTTGGAGTGTCATGTCATCTGCTGGTGTTGGTTTACTATGTTTTATAAAGTCCATAGTAAATGTAGCCCCTCTACTAGGATATTTTAAAGCACTTCATGTTTCTACTTGCTGATAATCTTTATGGAGATGCTGATTTATTTTAACAACAGGTCTTGGCACCAGCCCATTGTGCTAAAACTAATATTAACTGGTTTGAGACCATGATATTCTTATGCTGCCTAATTGGCCAGCCAATTTGTCTGACACGAACCTCATAGACAATCTATAAGGTATTGTCAGGAAGAAACTGAGAGACACCAGACCCAGCAATACTTAGAATTTGAGGGCCACTATCTAAACTACCTGAAATTTCACAACGCCTCAGCAATATCACAGGCTGACTGTCTCCATGCCACTTTGCATTGATGCAATCATTTGTGCAAAAGGAACCTCATCCAAGTATTTTGTGTTTAAATGAGCATACTTTGAAAAGTTCAACATTTCTCTAAATCCTTTTCTTTATTGATCTTATGAAATATTCTAATATTTTGAAATTGTAGATTTTTGATGTACATCAGCTGTAAGCTGTAATCACCAAAATTAAAACAAAAGATTTTAAATATTTTACTTTGTGTAATGAATCTAGAATATATGCAAGTTCACTTTTTGAATTATGAAAAAAAATAACTCTTCTATAATATTCTAATTCTTTTAGATGTGCTTGTATATATTTGTCTTAATCCAGATCAAATTCAACCTATCTAATAATCTTATGTGAATTCTTCATATTGGAAATACTGTCATAAGTTATATTGAGATTTGTATATTCAGGAGTCACCAATGTAAAATTCAAGAAATCATCCATGTTGTGGAGTTGGATGAGTTAATGTCTGTTATGCTTCTTTTTTTTTAGTTATGAGATATTTATGCTTAACATTTGCATTAATGAAATTACATATAAATCAATGAGACAGAACAGCTAAAAGGGAGATCTACATTTCAGCAACAGATACTTTCAATAACATGAAATAAGTTAGCATTACTGCGACAGAATACAAATTATTGTATACATGAACAGTGTGAAATGTGAAATAAAAAGGCAGCATTTGGTGAGATCCCTCAAGAAAGGGTGGCCATGAAATAACACAGATTTTAACACAGACAATGTCTCCAAGGTCAAAACACTAAGTAAGAGGCCATGAAAAATATTTATTTATCACACCTTAAATTAACTACACATGCTATAACAGCAGGAGCAAGCTAAGCAAAATCTTTAGATAACTTTGATATGCACTTTGTATATCACTCAAGCAAAGTGAGACCTTATTACAGTGTGACATTTCTTTTTCGTGCCAGAAGTGAAGTGAGCCCGGAGAATATTAAGTTTTAACACAGATAGACAATTTCGACCCCACCCACAGGGAAAAACAACAACAACAACAAAAGTAAGAAGTCATGAAAAATATTTATTTAAAACACGTCAAATATTTGACTTTATGTTTAAATATTTGAAATATTTTACTTTATGACTAATGAATCTAGAATATATAAAAGTTTCACTTTTTGAAATTTGAACCAAAATACGAAGCAAAAGAAACTATATATATATATATATATATATATATATATATATATATATATATACACACATATATATATATATATATATATATATATATATATATAAAAAGAAGAGAAGAGAAGAGAGGTGCTGCAAACGTTTTTGGTTGTAATGTGGATTTTTAGAAAAAAATGTTATGCTTTATTTTCCATAATTTTACTACACGGGTTTCTGGTCTCGCAACCATCTTCAGGTAAAAGGCGGAGATTTCCACATATTATTAAAAATAATTAATTTTTTTCTTTATGCTTTTCAATGTTAAATATTCTCGATATGAGACATTCTCTGTTTTTGTGTTAGTAATCCGAATGTCTTTTTTGAATTGGCAATGAAGAGTTCTGCGCGAAGGGTCATAAAACAATTAAGGTTAATCCAAGAGAAATGATGAATTACTTATCGGCATTTTATCTTTTAATGTTTTACTGACCCCTATGCGTTCTTGGGTCTGTTTCCATTTTGGTGCGTTTCTGTCAGCATGCGTGTATATATGCGTGCGTATATTTCCCCTTCCATACATATACTGTCTTACTACGAGGAATTAGTAAACTCATTTGTACACATACACGCATACACACCGTCCCACTACAAGGAATCAGTACATACACACACATACATACACACACACATACACTCACATACTTCTCAAGCTACATGGAACCAGTATACACGTACACACGCATACGTACATACATACACACAAGTTGTGTGGGCTTTGTGTGCGTGCTCGTGAGTAGTTCCCCTGTTTTGTCAACATGCGTATATATATATACATATATGTGTGTGTGTGTGTGTGTGTGTGTGTGTGTGTGTATATATTTTCGTGTCTCCCGTATTTGAGTGTGCGTTCATGAAAGCGTGCGTTCATGCATGTGAGTGATTTGATCACTGTATTTGGTCACCTTGTGTGCATGTTGTGTGCTTTTGCGTGTGGGGTTATGATCTATTTAGTTCGGGTTTAAATTTGTTTATAAAGTTTTTTTCTTGTATTTGTACGTACGAATAATCGTCTGTTTGATATATCGGCATGATATTAAATTTATCCTGGTTACATTTGAAGATGTGTTGTGATACAAAAAGTTTTCTGTTGCCTGGCAATTTTATATTGCTTTTGTGTAGGGAGACCCTGTTGTTCAGTTGTTGGCTGATGCCTATATATGACTTCTTACGTTTTGTGCATTTAAGTACATAAATTACATTTTTGGAGTTGCAGTTTAAGTTTTTATTTATTGTGAATGTTTTTGGGGAGTTTTAAAAAGTGTAGCAGTTTCCTTCTATAATGATGTCACAAACCCCACATCTTTTTTTCGTTGCATTTTGTGACTCCCTTTATTTTTGTGTTATTTAAATTTGGACGAGGTTAATATGTGTTTTAGGTTTTTTTTTTTTTTTATGTGTAAGAAACAAAATATTAAATTTATTAATGGAGGTTTCTTAATTAAATGTGCATTACATTGAGGAATCTTTTTTTATGTCATTCTATATACATGTGGCAGAAAATGAGAAGTGAAAGTATTTATTAATTTATTTTAATATGTGAATTATTTAAAAACAGGCAGAAAATTAGAGAATTATCAAAATATTTTCGACTCTACAAATCAAAACAGTTAAAACTTAAAAATACACTGGTTGGATACAACCAGATTTCAGATTAATAACCCCTTCAAAATTATAGAGTGGATTCACCCGTTTTATTTTTAATCAAGTGGCATAAAAAATATTAAGTAGAAATATATTCCATTTTTTTTCCATTGCACCCCGAATGGGCACCTGCATCAATATAACATTTAAAAAAAAAATTAACATTAATTCTGGTGAAAATTGAATTTATGATCTAGGATATCAATTCATTTCAAAGGCCATTGATGAAACAGGTTTCACTGTAACAAAACAACAAACACCAGAATTTGAATGCATTTCGTTGGTGACTTACCCACCATGTAAACTTGTATAATTGATGCATGTCTTTTGTGGATGTTCACCTAAACATCCAAAAACTTGTTGAATGCCTTTGTCGCTGAAATAAATTGACAAAAAATAGACGGAAGGATACAGAGACACTAGAGGGACAGTTTAGGACACTGATTTTATTTCCTTCTTCTGGATTCCAACGAGCTCTTGTTGGGGAATTTCTTCCCGAACAGTTGGCACGTGTTCACCAGTCAAAGGTCCAACAGAGAAAGAGACAGATTCTTCCAGTTTATCTTTGGCGCCAGGAAATCTCTCTTTTTTTTTTTTTTTTGCACATGCGTAAATTGTCTTTCCCGTCAGAGGACTTCTGGGAGATTTTAATGTTTATTTTATTTTGTACTTTTATTTAATTTTGTATTTTTATTTTATTCCCACACTTTATATCAAGAATACAGGCTTCATAAAAAAGTGCAATCATATCACCTATTTACATTTTTATTATGTATTCAATGAACAGCCCAAACAACTAACAGTTTCTTTGATTTGGGTTAGCAACTTGTATACCATGTTGCTAAGGACACTGTATTAAATTCAATGTTCCAAACAATTTATGGCCACTTTTTATTGATAGGTGAATTGCCCCCCCACCCCAACAAGAAAACTAAAAGGAAAATGGGGCAGACAGTATGTTGTTATTAAAACATTTTAAAAAATATATTGCTGCATGTGAGTCACTCATAGAAAAGTAATAATGAACAAAACTCGGTTTTCAAGTTTCTTCTCTCAAGTGCTGTTGGCAAAAATCAGATGTTGTTGCCAGAGGCATTATGAACGAGAGGCCTGAATGTTCAAAGGTTCTCATTTAATGAGGACGTTGTGGTTATATCTGCTATTAGGAAGCAACCAGGTTGAACTTGACATCAGTGGAGGGAAAGAAGGTGAGAAGCAGAGATGTAGTGGTCAATGGTCGGCGTTAAGCAGTGGTTTGGTAGCAGGTGACTCAAAGTTCATATAGATGAGCCAAACAATGACGCCGAAGATAATCATAATGAACAGTTTAATTATAATTGATGACATCCCTTTCTTTTTGGAGTCAGAAGCTGAACTAGCTGAAGTAGCTTGGGTATTACGTAAAATTGGAAATTTGATTTCTCTCATACTTGACAGTGGTCTGCGAGTCAAAGAGGTGTTCAACCGACTGCTGCCAGGAGTTTCTATGTAGCTTGGAGGGTTGTTTCCACCACTGATTTTTGATGCTAAACGACTAGTGTATCGTTGGTAGGCACTGGTCAGCCTTTCTGAGATCGCTTCTTCACGTAAAGATCCAGATAAAATGTCTTCTTCTTCCTCCTCCTCCTCTTCAAATTCTGCAGGAGCTGTGTCTTGGGGCACTCGAGCAAGTTTCCTCTCATAGACAACTCGTGTAGTATTTGTAATTGGCACAACTCCCACCCTCAAATTCTTCAGAGCTGTAGCCAAATCCTCATTAGTCATTTGCTTAATCTCTTCTGAAACCATACTGCGCTGTTTTGTAGAGGAATCAAATTAATAACTGAACCAATATAATTACAAGCTTCCACGAAGGCACATACAAAAGTTTAAGACTTTTTTTAAAATTTCAAATCCGACAACGGCGTTTCGTTTGAAAAAAATACATTTTGAACCCCCAAAAAAAAAAAAAACATTCACAATAAATAAAATCTTAAACTGCAACTCCAAAATGTAATTTATGTACTTAAATGAACAAAATGTAAGAAGTCATATATAGGCATCAGTCAACAACTGAACAACAGGGTCTCCCTACACAAAAGCAATATAAAATTGCCAGACAACAGAAAACATTTTGTATCACAACACATCTTCAAATGTAACCAGGGCAAATTTAATACACACACACACACACACATATATATATATATATATATATATACACATGTTGACAAAACAGGGGAACTACTGACGAGCACGCACACAAACCGCACACAACTTAGGAAGTACGTGTGTATGTATGTAAGTATGTGTGTATATGTGTATGTGTATACTGGTTCCATATAGCTTGGGAAGTATGTGTGTGTGTGTGTGTATGTGTGTGTGTATGTATGTGTGTGTATGTACTGATTCCTTGTAGTGGGACGGTGTGTATGTGTACAAATGAGTTTACTAATTCCTCGTAGTAAGACAGTATATGTATGGCGGGGGAATATACGCACGCATATATCCACGCATGCTGACAGAAACACACGAAAATGGAAACAGAGCCAAGAACACATAGGGGTCAGTAAAACATTAAAAGATAAAATGCCGATAAGTAATTCATCATTTCTCTTGGATCAACCTTAATTGTTTTATGACCCTTCGCGCAGAACTTTTCACTGCCAATCCAAAAAAGACATTCGGATTGCTAACACAAAAACAGAGAATATCTCATATAGAGGATATTTAACATTGAAAAACATAAGGAAAAAATTAATTATTTTTAATATGTGGAAATCTCCGCTTTTACCTGAAGACGGTCACGAGACCAGAAACACGTGTAGTAAAATTATGGAAAATAAACCATAATAATATTTTTTTCTAAAAAAAACACATTACAACCAAAAACGTTTGCGGCATCTCTCTTCTCTTCTTTTTAATATACGGTTTCGACATATGAGGATCTGAAAACTTAACCAACTGATTCAGTTATAAGTTTTGTGCGATGATTTACAAAGGAGGCCGCATATTGAGCAAGAGTGAGGATTATGGGATCTGATCACTGTTAGATTTGCTGACCTTTTAAATCTTGCTCTCGTTTCTTGATTAACAGATTGAAAACTGACAAGTTGCTCTTCAGTTTGACTTTGTATCTTAGCCATGGGCATCCTACATTCCTGTAGCCCTGATCTAACTGATTGTACATTAGGATCTTGTCAGACATTCTCAAGACATGACCAGTCCATCAGGAAACTGTATGAGGAAAGTTACGATTCCTCCAATGGTACACCTGATAAACAGGCCTATGTTAGATCTCATAATTATTTGAAATGACTTCGAGATGGACCGAAGAATAAGAGGGAGAGAGAGGGAGGAGGGAGGGAGAGAGGGGGAGAGAGATAGAGAGAGGGGGAGAGAGAGGAGGAGAGAGAAATAGATAAACAGATTGAGAATGACAAAGAGGGAGAGAAAGATATATATGAACAGACTAAGAATGATAGAGAATGACTAAGAATGATAGAGAGAGAAAGAAAGATATGAAAAGAGAAGGAATGACAAAGAGAGAGAGAGTGAGATGAACAGACTGAGAATGAGAGGCAAAGAGAGAGAGAGAGAGAGAGAGAGAGAGAGACTAACAGAGAAAGAAATATGAGGATATTGAGAATGATAGAACCAGAGATGAAAAGACTTAAAATGATAGACAGACAGAGAGTTAGAGGCGTGAATAGACTTAAAATGATTAAGAGAGAGAGAGAGAGAGAGAGAGAGTAAGAGAGAGAGCGTAAGAGAGAGGGTGGAGATGAACAGATGGAAAATCATAAAGAGGGTGATAAATGAATAGATTGAGAATGATAGGTTGAGAGAGAGAGAGAGAGAGACAGACAGACAGGGAGAGTGATATGAACAAAATGAAAATGACAGAATGGGAGATGGATATAGAGAGAGTGAGATAAAGAGGCTGAAAAGGATAGAGAGAGAGAGAGAGAAGGAGGGACGAATAGACTGAAAATGATATATATATATATATATATATATATATATATATATATATATATATATATATATATATAGAGAGAGAGAGAGAGAGAGGAGATGAACAGGCGGGAAATAATAGGGTGAGAAAAGAGAGAAACAGACTGATAATGATAGCGAAGAGAGCACTATACAGACGAAAACGTTATACATAGTGAGAGATAGGAAGAGAGATAGAGAAAGAGAGAGTGAGCAACATAATCTCATATCTTAAATTGAATTATAAATAATTTGCGTCTTTGTTTATTAAATTTATTCTTAAAAAATAAACATTTACATATTTTATTCAGTTGTAGCATTCATTATTTGCAATGACTACTTGCTTCTTGGACCCCCCCCTCCTCGATCCCTTTTGATGTGTTGATGTTAACAAGTTTTCGGCGAGACCTTGAATCTGGTTTTCATTAGAGAAAATCTTTCCCCATCAAAGCATTTTGTATCGATTGACAAATGTAATAATCGTTGGGTGCACAGTCAGATGAATAGGGCTGATCGGGAAGAGCAGACCAGCCGAGTTCCCAAATGCTTTACTGTGTTATCCTTGTTGCATGTAGCTTTGACTTGTCATCGAGGAGAAACACTTTTTTCCTTTAATCAGCCATTTTTTAAAAGGATATAAGTTGTTTCCTCTTTTCTTTCGGATTAAACAATTAATGAAGCCTGGAAAATCGACCGAAACTACATCAAGAACTCGAATTAAGAGGTCATTTGTCTGAATTTAAATTGTAATGTTTGTTACTTTTATCCTACTGTTTTAGTCAACATTTTCTTCGGCTTCCATCAGGCAGATGTTTGGGATATTTCGAAGTCGCTAAAATAAAAATTCTCTAAGTTTTCTCTTTTATATAATTGTATTTACTTCGGTGGCTTAATCTCTTTTCTCGGTCCATCAATCTGCAACTTTGAGTTTCTCCTTCTCTTTCTTTATCCACATTCAAACACCCATCCACCCTACTTACTATGTCAGTGTCGTTTTGTCACTGTAAAGTACTTCATATTACTTGGCTTCTCCCCAGAGCGAAATTCCAATCGTTGACGTAAGAAGGAAGTCAATACATTTTTTGAAAGAAATGATTTATTGATTTTGCTTTTCAGGCCAACAAACGAACGACACTTACCGATTTGCTTCGCTAGAAATGCGTCCGCTTTTATATATTTTTTGGTATGTTTTGTCAATCAAATTAACTTCTCAGAAACACATGAGATTTATTAACTTTTCTCCTCCTACAAATGGATATTTATACTAAAAAAGATTGAGGATTGTTAAGTGGCTGGAGCAGTTGCGCTTTTGACGAAGGTAACCGGTGTTGGAGAAACAAACGAAGAGTAATATTACAAATACTGATTTTCAAAGCAAGAAATCTTTTCTTAATGCAATATTTTGGTTCATTTATCACTTAGATATAGAGGTACATATAGAGATATAGAGGTAGATATATCGATAGATATATGGATATACAAATAGATATATCAATAGATATACATATAAGAAAATATATGGATATAGATCCGACAGTATCAAGAAAAATATACAGATAGATATATAGGCAGACATACAGATAGGTATACATATATATACAGATAGGCATAGAGATGGATACACAGATAAATATATATAGGTATACAGATAGGTATATAGACATATGTACAGATCTATCTATCTATCTATCTATCTATCTATCTATCTATCTACATGAACATAAAGATAGATATATAGTTAGATATATAGATATACAGATAGATATATATAGAGAGATATACAGATATATATATACATATACATATACATATATATATATATATATAGATAGATAGATAGATATGCAGATGGATATATATATATATATATATATATATATATATATATATGTGTGTGTGTGTGTGTGTGTGTGTGTGTGTTTGTGTTTTTGAGACATTTTTATGTTTATACATTCTTTTATAGATACAAATATTAAAGCAAATGCTCTGTTTCATAATAAACCTTGCTAATCGTACTATTCTCCGAGGCTCGATCGGTTAAGGCACGTCAGGCTAAATGACGGTTCCGTATAGGATACAAGTTCGATTCCTGTCGGAGAACGAATATATAAGTCCGGTAAATATTATTAAGACTGTTTATTATAAACAGAGCATTTACTTAAATATTTGTATCTATAAAAAGAATGTATAAACATAAAAATGTCTTATAATAATAGTCGGACTTTGTCTATTTCATAATATATATGTATTATGCA